TGTTTTCTTGATGTGCACTTAACCTTTATATAAAACTCTCTCTTATACATGAGTTTCTGTGGATTTGTTTCTCTAAAGTACCCAGACTAACACATTTATATATACATATAAAATAAGGGTTCCTGGGGGTTAGGGTGGGGGTGGGAGGGGATAAAGGGGAGTTGATATCAAAGAGTTCGAGAAGAAAGAAAACATTTGGAACTGATGGCGGTAGCAAGTATACAATTATGCTGTATCTAATTGAATTATATAATGTTATAATATCTGTAAGAGCTCTCAATAAAATGATTAATGAAAAATACTTTGTCTTCTCAAGTTTCTCTTTGAGATTTTCTGTCAGCTCTTTTTTTTTATTTTAATAAATCATTTTATTGGGGGCTCTTACAGCTCTCATAACAACCCATACATCAATTGTATCAAGCACATTTGTACACATGTTGCCATCATCATTTCCAAAACATTTTTTAAAAGTCATTTTATTGATGGCTCATACAACTCTTATCACAATCCATATATACATCCATTGTGTCAAGCACATTTGTACATTTGTTGCCATCATCAATCTCAAAACATTTTCTTTCTACTTGAGCCTTTGGTATCAGCTCCTCTTTTCAAACCACCTACCTGCTCCCTCAGTCAACTCTTTTAGTTCATCATGTTTTTCCCCATTTGCTTTAGGTATTCCAAGGTCAAGATCAAATTACAGAGACTCTTCTACATCCACCTTTAGCTTTTATTTCTTGTCTTGTGAAAGCCTTTTGCTTTCTTCATCTATGAGGTTCTTGAGGTCACTCTACAGTTGTTCAGGTCTCCTGCAATTAGTGTTTAATGATTCAAAACTCGCTTTGAGATGGGTTGTACTCAAGGTCATATTTCTGTTGTCGTGGACTTGTTTTAATTTTCTCAGCTTCAGCCTGGATTCACATATGAGCAATTGAAGGTCTGTTCCACAGCGGGCCCTTGGTCTGGCTGATATTGAGCTCCTCCATCTCTTCCCACAGATGTAGTCAATTTGATTCCTGTGTAGTCTGTTTGGCAAGGTCCATGTGTGTAGTCGCCATTTATGTTATTGAAAAAAGTTATTGGCAATGGAAAAGTTGTTGGTCTTGCAGAAGTCCGTCATGTGACCTCTCGCTTTGTCTCCAGCAGCAAGGCCACATTTTCCAACTACCATTCTTTACTCTTTGTTTTCAACCTTTGCATTCAATTGCCTTTATTTCCAACTTGTGCATTCCCATCAGTCTTAATTACCAGGGCCGTTCGATTGCCTATTTGATTAATTTCAGACTGAAGAAGGTGGCAGAACTCTTCAGTTTCTTCATCACTAGTTTGAGTGGTTGGTGTATATATTTGAGTAATAGTTGTGTTGATGGGGTTTCCTTGTAGATGTATAGATATTATCCTGTCACAGAAAGCATGTACTTCAAGACAGATCCTGAAATATTCTTTTTGGTGATAAATGCTATGCCACTCCTCTCAAACTATGTATTCCCAACATAGTAAACCACATCATTTAAAAATGATATGGGATCAAATTGACAACAATTCAAAGATTTTTGAGATCCGTAGGAGACAGTGAGTTTATGGTCGTCAGGGAAGTAAACGCCAAAGAGGAGGATGAGAATGGGTGCACAATTCACAGACTGTAATCAGTGTCACTGAATTGTACATGTAGAAACTTTGATTGGTGTATGTGTATTTCTGACGATAACAAACAATTTTAAGGAATAATTCCCTATTCTCCCCACCTCCCAGCTACTGGCAGCCACTAATCTACTTTCTGACTTTACATTTGCTTATTACACATTTGCCATTATGCCTATGGCATAAATCAGAATTTCATTCCTCTTTGTGGTTGAATAACAGCCCATGTCTGTGATTTTATGCCACTTAGTTTTGGGGTCATTTGTCATGTAGAAATGAATAACTAAAAAAAAGAAAAGAAAAAAAAGAAATGAATAACTAGTATAATATGTAAATGCAACACTGATCTTTTTTTAAAAAAGAATTTATTGTTTACTTATTTATCTATTTATTAACATATAATTCATATATCATGCAATTCAATGGTTTGAACATATTAAAAAAATAATAGTGGTCATTTTTATTTCAACTTGGGAGTTGATTGTTTCTTTCTGCCTTTATTGCCCTCCAAAGGGGCAGGATGGACAATATTCTGCGGGATGAAAGCCTATCATTTTATTGAATGCATCATACTCTTCGGTTCAGATTTCAAGAATGTAAGCATGAGAAACATAAACTAATCTCTCAACACGCAGAGCCACTGAGATTTTGTGGAGCAATAAAAATCTCAGCCCCCTTGTTCTCAGGAGAATCTGTGGTGTTAGGGAGAGCTGTCCACAGCACGGGTAATACCAAGTCTTTTCAGTCTCAAGAACCTAAAGCCCTTAAAACTGCCACGAATCACCCTGGCCTTCTCCATCATGTTTGGCTGCTTGGGCCCAAGTTTCCTTCCCTTTGCTCTTTCCTCGTACTATCCCAGTCCCCCATCTGCCTTGTCCTCTCTCACTCTCT